ATTCTATAATGCCACTCATCGTTCGGTCTGAACATTTGGCATTTGCCTGGCATCTTGCCTTGAAATATATATTATAGATACATTCACGCTCTCTCAAGTACGAAAATAGATGCCAAAAACATGAAACCAGCAAAAAAAAAACAACACTTGAACATTTATTACGAGTTCGCTGTGCCATTTTGACAGGCACCAAAGAGTTCAGCTACCCTACTTCAAACTGAGAATTAGGGTGGCATGAAAAAATCAAGAAAAATGTTTTCTCGTAGTGCGCACTTTTTAATACACTTGCAGGCAAATTGTGGCCAAGGAACTTAGAGAGAAGCTCACTTTTAGAGAGATTTGTAGATACTTTTACTTATTGCTAGAGATAAGTAGAGGGATTGCTAGATGAGATACTTTAATGTGTTGGAGGAAAAGGAAAAATCAATTCTGAATTTCTCGAAACTATTTAATGCTAGCTTTGTGCGGCCTTTCTGTTTTATAAATAGTTAAAAAATGTATTAAATACTTTTTCTTGAATATCCTTTGCAGGGCTCTGTTTTATAGCTATTTGTATATATTTTTTCTATTTAAGTCCTTCATATAGAATATAGTTTACAAATTCAGTCCAACCTTCCAAATACCAAGGCCTTTAGCTAACATTCAGATTAGATCATTCATATAAAATTTGCGGGTTTGAACCAACGACTTCTCCGCTTAACAGCGCAAGAAACCTTGAATTCACAATAGTTTTTCGTTCAGCTATTATTTATGCCAGCTATTTAGTTTTATAATTGACTTTTAAATCAAGTATTCAAAGGATTTTGGCATTGAACTTTCAATAAAGTCCTTGGCCTCTCATCGTAACCTTTTGAACTTGTCCCAACTGCAGCTCCACGGGAACTTAATGGCCTAAACTGCCAGACGTAAAACTAATTGGACGCGACATTTTTCACAGGCCTCAATTTACAATCGAATTTATGCAAATGTGCGTAGAAAATGGGAAAACTAGCAAATGAGAAATGACAATCATTTGGTTTGATTTAGACAACAAGGATCTAGGCGGGTTATAGAAAGGTTATATATATGCTATACAGCATATATATGTATATGTGTGTGTATATATATGATATGATATGGCATGTACAGTGGGCTATCCATCATGTTGAACTAAGTAATTGTTCGAGTCATATGCAAGTGGCTAGAGGCAAATTTATCGATTACGCGCGGAGACAGGGCAAAGTTTTAATATCTAAGTGTGTGTGTGTGTGTGTGTGTAGTATGTTTGTGTTGTTGTGCGTCTGTAATTTCACATAGCTGAAGACATAAGAATGTTGACTGGCCTGTAATCGTAGTACACACGCCTTGATATTGGTAACACATGCGCCGCAGGCGCCCACCTTGGCAAGTTCTGTCTGGACAACTGAACGTAAGGGCGGGCAGGCGGGCGGACGGACGGACGGAAGACGGACTGGTTGGTTGGCGTCATAGCCCGGCGATAGCCCGGCGTTGGCGTCTGGGCCCAAATGCCCGGGGGGCAGCGCCAGCGTGTGGTCATTGCCAAACATATTTCCTTGTACTTGAACGCAAATCATTTTCCTCGGAGAGGGGCGCCTGGTAACAGCAACCGGTCGCTGTGTCTAACAGGCAAGGCTGCCAGACTAGCAGATACCCTGTGCACAGAGTGGCCTTTTGACTTGTACTGCTTTTCCCTTCTATACAAAAATCCCAACTGCAAATTGTGCTTCAGTTTAATCTCAAATATATGTCTTAAATATATAAAATTGTAAAAAATTAAAAAAAAAAATGTTAAAATTGTAAATCCCTGAAACTTTTTTGTTTAGTTTAAAATGAGCAGTAAAAATATATAAAAATTAAGGTTATGAAAGCCAAACGATAAATTAGCTGACATATTGGCCTTAAGAAATTGCGAATTTATGCTCTAGAAATCAAAATCATCGAGATTTATTAATTTTAGCAACGAAAATTCGCAGAAGCTTCCCTGCCTGTTACAAACATTGGCTCAAGCACAGCATACCCTGTTTGTTCCTTACGCCATTTTTATTGGCTACAGGGTATTAAATTTTGATAAACCTGTACAAAGAAAAACTTAAATAGCGAGCATGAAAAGTCGCTGGCTGACATTGATTATTTATTGATAGATTTTCGATTTTCACTTTACGCTTTTGTTGTTTGCTTTTTGTGGCCTACTGTACCCGTCATCGTCGATTCGTGCATTGTATTCGATATTCAATCAAACGATTAATTTGTTTTGGAAATTCGAGCCGCAAGCCGCGAGCCGCGAGCCGCGAGCCCGTAGCCACTTTTGGGTTTGTCGACGTTGCGTTATTTATGCAACTGGCCCCTAATGAAACGGGGCTGGGTCCCATTCAAAAGGGGCCAAATGCTGGATTCTAGCTGACGCCCGTCAATGCCATTGGCATTGAAATGCTCGTAAACTCGTAAACACACTCGTACAATACCTAGCTATATACAAATAGCAGCTATATACACCTATATACTAGCCAGGCAGTGCACAGTAGTTGCCGCTGTTTGTTTTTACTTCCTTTCTGTTTGTTGGTTTTATTGTAATTATTGCATTTGCTGCGGTTTCTATTGGTTTTCAATTTCCCCCTTCCCATTATAACAACAAAAACAAAGGCAACAAAATGTGTCAAAACAAATTTGATGTAAGCGGGCGATATATCGATTTTAATTGCTTAAAATTGTTATCGATAATTAAGGTTTTCAATTAATTTGATTAATTGAGAGTGGATTATTTTCTATGCATTTTAAAAGATAATTGAACGAATTTGAACCAGCGACTTCTTGCTAATCAGTTCGACGCTCAGGCAAATTTAAACAAGTGGGCGAGATATTGAAAATCGATAAATATCGATAATTGAGGTTTTCAATTAGCTTGATTATTTGAGAGATCGGTTTATTTTCTATGAACCAGCGACTTCTTGTTAGTCTGTCCGACGCTCAGGCTCTTGCTACTAACTATAGACTGCTGCTGTTGTTATTTTGGCAAGTAGCTGATCGTATAACCAAAACCTAGTCTTAAAGCTCACTTTTGACAAACTCTTCTATATATATATAAATTGGTATACCCCACAGCATAATTATTAGTAGTAACGACCTAAATAAATTGGCAGTTTTTCAACAATAACTTTTTGGATTTTTTCAGGTCAACTCTTCTTATTTTATGCCATATTCTATATCGTGCTTGGCATACTGTTCACCATTTGCATGCAGGTCATGCTCTCGACTGTGGATAATCATCAGCCTAAATGGAAGCTGGATGAGTCTCTGATTGGCACCAATCCCGGATTGGGTTTCCGACCGCTAAGCGAACAAACCGAACGCGGTTCGGTTATTGAATACGATAGAAAGAAGCCCGCCGAATATGAATACTATATTAGTTTGGTCGATGAATTTTTAAAGGGTACGTAGAAGCGCTGCCTTTTGGCAAGTAGGAATAATACTATATGTATATATTTAATACAATATGCTACAGATTACAATCACACCGAGGGTCGCAAGATGAAGCACTGCGATTTCAAGCAAAACCACAATGACAACGAGGTCTGTGTCGTTAATATTGATAACTTTGGACCCTGCACAGCGGCAAATGGATATGGCTATAAGACTGGCGAGCCCTGCATCTTTCTCAAGCTCAACAAAATATTTGGCTGGGTGCCCGATTTCTATGAGTCGGCCATCAATGGCATGCCCGCCGATCTGCAGGAGCTCATCAATGCTACGAGTGCCGAAGAGGTTTGTTAGGCATTTACCTCTAAATGATGACGCCGCCTTATAGCAGCTAGCATATATCTAAATATACCATGTATTTCGTTACACAGCGCCAACAAATCTGGGTCTCCTGCAACGGTCACTTGAGCAAGGATAAGGAGCAGTTCCATAACATTAGCTATTATCCCAGCCAGGGCTTTCCCTCCTATTACTATCCCTATCTGAATCAGCCCGGCTATTTGAGTCCGCTTGTTGCCGTCCAATTGCACGCCCCGCCCAAGGGCAAGATGTTGGACGTGGAGTGCCGCGCCTGGGCCAAGAATATCATCTACAGCGGCAGCTTACGCGATCGCAAGGGTTCGGTTACCTTCCAGATTTTGTTGGATTAAAATGCGAACGGATTGTTAAGCTAGAAGAACTTGTGATTGCAACAACCTAAGCTGCTAGCCTTATGCGAAATTCTCGTCCCGAGACCAACTACAACAACAACAACAAGAATGAGGAGATGAAGAAGAGTTAATTTTTAGAGCTTAGGCGCCTTCAAGTTTTAAATGTATTGTATATATTTATATGAAGAGAAACGAAATAACAACGCGCACCTATAAACAAAATCAGCCCAAAAAAAAGAAAGAATTATAATATAAAAAACCAGAAAAATTTAAAAAAAAAAAAACCGAAATTTTCACAAAAGTTCAAATCGTACACCCGTAATTGTTGTTATACATAGCTTCCGGCTTTTCTATTGCTATAAGTTAATAATTACAATAATATTAACATTATAATTTTATAGATTCTTGTAAAGCATATGGTTAATTTGTCAGTTGTATTTAGTTTGTATTTATGTACTATGTTATTAATGCCATTTAAATTTGTTCTCCAGTCCAAGTACTCCATTATGCCAGCAGCATACTTTTTAATTTTACAAATATAGAAATCAATCCTCTTTTTTTTAAGTTGTTACATTAAATTTCAGCAACATGCAAATTTGTAAAAATGCGAGAAAAAAAAAACCTCAGCAAGCTACGTAAATAATTTATTTGTTATATAACAATTGCCACGCCTCTGTAAGGATGTGTAAAAAGTATTGAAAACAAAAACAAAAAAAAAAACTAAAAAACATATACATATATCTCCTTTAGTGAAATTTTAGTCATAGCAGCAACAATAACAAAAACAAATTCCAGGCATATTCTTGTTTTACATTTTTAAGCTTCTTTTTTTGAGATTTATATCAATGGAAAATTTTTAGTAAATTCTTTTTTGTTGCATTAATGAGTAAATAAAATTAAAAAACGAAACAAAACCCAAGTACTTTACTACATATAGCAAAATAAAATTATACATAATTTGTGTGCTCACATTTTAAGTTTAAAAATGGCGCCAAAACAATTGAAAATTGCCGAATTAGCTATTCGGACAGTGTGGCAACGCTGCTGACATGCACGGCGCTGCCAACCTGTTTGGCACACAGCTGTGCACACATCACAATTGCGCTGACAGCTAGTCGATATATCGAGCAAAAAATTCATCGGAATTTTTCAGCTTTTTGCTGTTTACGCTATAAAAATTACAATAAAATACAGAAAATCCTATTGAAAACAAATCACTTGACCAATTGAGAGTTGTTAATATAAAAAGCAGGCAGTGGTGTTGCGCCCAGCTGCATTGAACATGGCACAAACGATAGACGTGGGCTGCGTCAAGGAGGAGCACTGTGAGGCGATTTGCAATATGTTTAAAGCCCAGGATTGGCCACTGACCATGCGACACAGGGACCTGGGTCTGGTTAAGATCGAGCAGGACATGAGCTTTGTGTGGCAAAGCAGCCCCAGTGTCACCCTGGACGGCAAGGACCGACAACCAGAGAAGCAGGGCCAAAAAAAGTACGTCCGTCATTTTCATAATAATCGAATCCATAATTATGCTGTATGCTCTTGTGCTCCACAGATTCCAGCACGGTGGCAAAACGCCGTACAGCGGGTCGGCCAGCGAGAAGCCTTTCAAGTGCGCACACTGCCCCAAGGATTTTGCCACCAGCAGCAATCTGAAGGTGCATCTGACGCGCACCCACTCCGGAGATCGCGAGCGCCCGTTTTTGTGCCCCAACTGCCCCAAGTCGTTTGCGACCAATGATAATCTGCAGAAGCACATACGCAGGCATTCGAGCGAGCGCAACTTCAACTGTCCACACTGCCCCAAGGCCTTTGCCACAAAGGATAATCTACAGAAGCACATACGCCGGCACTCGAGCGAACGCAACCTCATCTGTCCGCATTGTCCCAAGGCATTTGCCACCAACGACAATCTGCAGAAGCATATACGCCGGCACTCGAGCGAGCGCACCTTAAATTGTCCACACTGCCCGAAGGCATTTGCCACCAATGATAATCTGCAGCGGCATATACGCGGTCATACGGGTGAGCGACCCTTTAAGTGTCCCTATTGCCCGAAACCCTTTGCCCAAAACAGAGATCTCAAAGCGCACATCCTAGAGCATACGGGCGAGAAGCCCTTCAAGTGTCCACACTGCCCCAAGGCGTGCGTTCGCAGCGAGGGCCTCAAGAAACACATACTGCGCCTGCACAAGGACATCGAACCCGAGCAACGACTGACGGCGACCAAGCAGTGAGTAGATCTCTCTGAGAAATCCGAGCACACCATTTATCTCTTTTTGTTTGTGTCCATAGATGGCCAACGGGCGACCCAAACGGCAGAGTCTTTATGTACAAATACGATCTAACCAAACACACACGAATGCCCACCGGCGAGGCGTAAAAGTTAACCACGCCTTGCCCAGGAAATTGAGCTCAGGGCACACACTGACACACAGACACACACACACACACACTCAAAGCGGAAAACCTTGCAGTTCGAGCAGCCGGGAAAATAGAAGGGATTGGAAACCGACTTGCAAACGAGCATTTGATTTTGAAATGTAACTTTTGAGCGCTTCAAAACTTGGCAAAATGGCAAAATTGATATAAAACTAAACAATTATGTAGCTTTTATAGCCAGCGAGATCTAAGGCTTTCCCACAACCATATCAAAGAATTATGTTTTGATATGCTTTGCATGGGACACTAAAAGATATTCAATTCATTTGTTGTATAAATTTATATATATACACATATATATATATAATGGGCTCAAGCAATCGATTTGATGCAAAAAAATAAAACGCATTTTAATGCTAAATATAGAAAACACAATAAATAGAAATTAATAAATTGCGAATGTAAAAAATAAGGTGGAATATTGCTAGTACAACTCGGTAGAAGACCTGGTTCAATTTAAAAACGTTTTTAAAAATCCAACAAATTTGCAATTTGTCATATTTAAAACAGCTTAAAACATTTTAAATTTAGTTTTAGATTAGTACAAATTAGTTTTGTGTACCATTGTTAAACTTTATTAGTAGGTTTTTATTAAATGTGAGTTATTGTACCTATATTACAGATATTACAGAATATTTCTTTAGTTCATTATTTATTTTTCTTTGTGAATTCTGGGATATTTATTTTATTTGCTAAACTTAGTTGTTTTCTCTTTACTTTTGATATAGTATAAAGTAATCACAAAATATTATTATCACAATTTGCGGATATAAATATTGTATGCTTTTCATATTTGCTATCTTTTTTATTTTAATATATTAACATGCATACATATCTCGTCTGTGTGTATATTTTAATTATTCATTCATTTTTCGTATAGAGTCAACAATGCGAGTTAAAATTTTAACTACATCAAGATTTGTTTAAGTTTGTAGCTTTCTTTAAAGTCAAAAAGTTTAGCTTCAGCTGAGACGAAATTTGAAAAGTTTAGTTGATAGTTTTTTTTTTTTTTTCTTGTTCTGGGAGGCATTAAACAAGTTGGGATTTCGTTATGGTAGAAAATTTAAGTTTGACGAGCACCCCACAGTTCCGTCTCATGATACATACGATAAATATTGTCCCTGATCAGTTTGGCTTTGTCTGTAATATCGTTATAGGAATGTTAGTAAGGCGTTAGTTGGTATTAGATGCATGCTAGATAATTAAATTAAAATGTTTAAACTAGATTTAAATACATATAAGCTGTAGACAAGTCTGGAGATAGCTGCGCAGCATATTTTCATATTCTGTAACTTATCAATTTTTGTGCCTGACAGAAAAATATGCCCATTTACATGATCTGCTACATATGAAGGAGCTAATAACATTAACCTGATCTGGAGAAAACTAGATGGAACAGCCTTGGTCTTAAGTACACGCATTTCTTTGAATGCCATCTTTGTGCGCAGAAAGTTGCAAGGCAATCGGACAAGAAACACCCAAGTTACTTAAGAAAGTAGATTGCTCTGAACCCTAAAAACGATATTAAGCACACTTCCTAAACAATGCTAACAGTAGAAACTATCTTCGGCACTTGAACACACTCTCAAGTTTCCTCTAAATTTCATATAAATGATATAAAGATATATACGATAGAAGGATAATATATTTGTGTTGCACTCACCCTTGGATAGATTGAGCGCCACAACATGTTTCTTTAGAAAATCGAGACACAATTCCTGGCTAGTGCCCAGCGAGTGCATGTTGCACGTGAAGGCACTAAAAATAGAGAACAGATTATTCAGTAATTCGCTTGGGCTACTCTTAAGATGTAGAGCTAACAACCTCAATTGCCGAAATGCAATATCGTCCTGCTCCTTGGCCGATTGCGGCTGGCCCAAGCTGCATTTGCTGGATTTGAGTTTGGCTGTTGCCAACGTCGCCGCCGGCGCGCTGCCCTGGTGCGAAGAGCTTGAGGAGGAATCAACGCCGTTCTTGCGAGCATCGGGCACCACTGACTCCGGCGCTGTTCCTGCTGGGGCTGCTGCAGCTGCAGCTGCTGCTCCGGCTGCAAGGCGCTGCTGCTGCCTTGCCTGACGGCGCTGCTGGCGGCGCAGCTGCGAGCTGAGCCGATGCTCACGCTCAGCCTGCATGGCATCCTGGAAGATGGCGTTCCAGAAGCGCGGCTGCTGCCACAGCGGCTGCTGGCGCAGCGATATGAACAAATACTCGCGATAAGGATCACAGCCAGGAACTTCAACTGCAATGGGGAGCAAGAGTTTAATATAAATATGCGTGCGTTAGTCGAGAGTGCCCGACTAGAAGATACCCCATAAACAGATTCGAGTTGCAGTAGCTCCCTCAACTCACCTTCGTGATAGAACAAGAAACAGAGATTCATAAGCACCGCCGCTGGCGCATGATCCTCGCACTCGCCGCATTCGAACAGCGCCAGGGCAAAGTATTGGGCAAGTGCATTGAATGTTAATGTTTCCAGGCGTTTTGATTTGTTGCGCTGCTCGCTGAGAAATCTGGTGAACCACAGGCGGCCCATCTCCAGACGCAGCAGCACACCAAGCTCGGACTTAAGCTCCAGATTGACAGCTGCCGAATTGCTGAAGAGCAGCTGGGTGAAATGCTTCATGAATTCCTTGACGGGCTCCTCGCCGGCACGACAATCCAAGCTTATGGAGGATGCCCATGAGGGCACCGAATTTTGCGATTCGGAGCGTATAAAGTTGCGCCAATCGCTGGACTCCATGCTGGGGCTGGCCTGCAGCTGATCGGGCTCATCCCGCAGGCTGGTCAACGTGCTGCTGTTCGAGGTGCGACTGCGTGTGGGCACAACTCGCATTGAGCTGTTCGCGCCCCAGGGCTGGCGTGTCATCAAGCTGCCGCCGCCGCCTTCTGTGGGCGGCTGCACATCAATTAGTGGAGGCATGGCCGTGGCCTCAAGCAGCTCACTAATGCGCTGCATATCCTTTTGCATGTCCAGCTCGCTGCGTCGAGCGCCCGCAATGGCTCGGGGCCGCTCATAGCCACCCGAGTGGCGCGACTCAAACTCCAGAGAATTCGAGTGCGTGGTGCTGCTCACATCGTGCGAACGTGCGGCCGCCGTTGGCTCCGGCAGCGACGCGGAGCTGCTGTCGTCGCTGCTGCTGCCGCCGCTGCTGGACGAGGACGGCGAACTGGAGCGCAGCGGGCCGCCCAGCTTGTTGGAGTGACGCGTGCGCGAGAGCTCCAAGCGTGGACCTATAAGTTAGTTTAAGATTGGAGCAGCATATAAATGTAGGAATGTGCTACTCACGCGGCGCCAAATTGGGCTGTCTGAAGCGACCCGAGATGATCTCCTCATGCGCACGACGCGCCTTCACGCGACGCGCCTCAAAATCGATTTTCGTATAGTCAATAGTCTCGTCATCTGGAAAGGGAAAGTGGCAGTAAAAAGGGACTTGTGCAGCTTCTTAAATTTACTTACACTTGGGCAAATCCTCGTCATCGTCGTCGCAATAATCTGAATCGCTGCTGCTGCTGCTCAGCGTTAACTGTAAATGCACAAAAAATGCAGTTATTAGACAATGTTGCCACCCTACAATGAATTACGCATACATATGTATGTATGGCAGCACTTTGCTAAATTTCTTTGAGTTTTGCTTAAATGTGCTCGACTGGTAGATATGCTGCAATCTGGTCTGAGGAGGACGACTAGAGTAAGACAGAGAGGGTGGGAGAGAGAGTAGGTACGAGAAGAGAGAGGGAGAAAGAGAGAGCGAGAGAGATACTCGAAGTCAGAGTGGAGCAGAAAAAGAGTTAAGTTGAGTCTGTGCGAGAAGGAAGCAAGGATAGTGGGAAAGGAAACTATAGTTAGCGGGATTTGGACAGCCAGAAAGAATAAAAAGAAAGAAAGAAAGAAAGAGAGAGCGAGGTGAGTGGAAGAGAGAAAAAGAGCGAGTAAGAGGGATACTTGTCTACTTTAAAAATATACATATGTATACATGAATATACCACGATCAGGGCGATCTTCATTTTCAAAAACAAAGTGCCTGTCGCATAAGTAAATGATGTCTATTGATAAAAAAAAGTCAGCAACACAACAATAGGCAGGCCTTAAAACAAACGAAATTTTTACTCAGCAATCTCTTTAGTTGCGACCTTGGATAAGCGATGCAGTTGGCAAGTATCAAGCGAGTCAACGTAATTGATTGCTTTTGCACTTGCAGCAGCACTTAAGGTACATGGTGTGAAAGAGACAGAGCGAGCCACATAATCCACAATTAAGAGCTCGTCAAATAAAACGAGATGGCAACTTTGTGCCATTTACCGTTGCGATACGTTTACTCGTTTTAACTGAGGCGTGAAGCACTCGACAGCCACTCATATAATTAATTTGAATTCAAGGACGAGTCGAGAGACGAGCATCAATTGTGCTGCAGCCAGTGCTGCAAAGCGCCGTCAGACAAGAGTCAAGTACAATGGCAACAGCTGTGAGCCTGCCCAGCCCCCGAGCAGCAGCAGCTACCACAACAATAATATCGGGGCCAAGTGAAGGTCAAACGAGTGCAGCTGCAGCAGCAGCAGCAGCAACAGCAAAAAAAGAAAGCTATCAAAATGTGGGTTGTATTTGGCCAGCAGCTCCTTTCATTATCAAGGCCTTACCTTGTTTGATATGCCATTGAACAGCTCATTGCTGTTGCCCAACACTGTCAAAAATTTGGACTTTAGCGCACCGATGCTCGGCGTCCGTTCCATAAATAATTTTATTTTCGATCTCTCGCCGGCAAATGCAGCCGGCGGTGTGCCCGGCGTGGGCGTGCGTGTGGGCGGTGGCTTTGCGTCGACCATGGTTGCCACGTGTATTTAGTTGCTTTTGTTGTAGCTGTTCTAACTGTTGTTGTTGCTGTTGTTTTGTCTATTTTTAGCTGTCATTTAATAAGCGTTTTCGTCTGCTGACGCTGACCGCTGACGTCGATGTCGACGTCGACTGCTACGATGACTGCTGCTGCTGCGGCTTCAAGTATCGATTTTTCGTATATATGTATGTATGTATGTAGCACAGCAGCAATGCGCCCCAAGCAGCTGCTTTATTCTTCTTCTGCTTTGCGCTTTGCTATTTTTTTTTCATTTATCAAGACTTGTGCCGTTAGTTATTTTTTTTTTCTTTTAATCTTGCTGAGACAGGAAACAATCTATGTAGTTGGGTTTGGTTAGGTGCAGCTTGTTGTTTAAACGATATCCCATATTATGCACATTAATTTCCGTTGCTTTTCTTGTTTGTGACACATATTTTATTCCATGTTTTCCAGCAACAATTGCATTTTCTTATTTATTTTTGAAATTTTTAACTTCTTTTTTAGTGTTTTTATATTCCAGCACAAAATGTTGTTTTTTTTTTTAAGTTTTATTAGTTCACGTATAATAAAAATGTTTCATTATTGAGGCACCTATAAATATGTGATTTTTTATTATTAGTAATTTAAATATTTTATTTATTATTTAATTTTTTGCTTAGTTTAGTTAGTTTTTTCTTTGGAGCTTTTTTAAGTTTTGTACATATGCTTAAATTGTATTTAGAAAAAATTAATTTAATTTTTTGATGTCATGTAATCATTTATATTAAAATGTTTTGCTTATTTATTTTTTCTTGTTTTATATTTAGGCCTATCATGTGTTTTTCTTGATCTTTTATTTTATATTAATGCAATTAATTAAATTTACATTTGTCATTTAAAGTTAGTTTATTGTCTTTACATTGATTTGTAATATTAAAATGCTTTCTTAAGAGTTTCAAGCATTTGCGTTTAATAAATATTTAAATATATCTCATAATTTTGCCTGTTCTTAACTTGACTTCAATACTTATTATATTATATTCTCAGTTGCATGGTTAATTTTTTTAAATTATTGTTAATAGTTTTTGTTCTTTCAGATTTGTGTTAAATATAATATGTATTTCCCAAGGCTTCATTTGCATTTACATTTATGTATAACATGCTACTCCATAGAAACGCACTTAGTATATAACATTGAATTGTGCTTTGCATTTTTTATTGTCTACGAGCATTACGCAAATGAAATTATGCGCACGGGACACAATTAAAGGCACAATTTGACGCACTATAAATATGTATTTGTGTAGATTATAGTGCTTTAATATTGCACAAGGAGCACATTTAACTGCTATTTTTCTTTAGCAACGCAAGCGGGGTGAGAGCGCAGGGTGGCGTTAAAAAAATCGTTGAATTTTCCGCATAAACACACGCGTTTCACTTGCGTTTCCTGCAACGCGCGCTGCGCAAATGCAGCCGAAAATGTAGTTTTTAGCTTTAAGAATCCGCCGCGTGTGCCAGCGTAATTTCTCGCATGCGATAGAAAATGGCAAAAGCTTTTGCAAAGCTTTTCCGTTAGTCGCAGCAATAACAATAACAACAGCCGGCATTTTGTTTGTTTACGAACAGCTGAGCGAGCCGAACGTGGCCACGCGATACTCGACTTCGGCTCGGCCGCCAAACAGCTGCAAAACGTTGCGCCAGGCATCGATTTGAGACGCAGCAAGCGTCGACGTCGACGTCGACGTCAGCGGCGGGCAAGGTCGTGTTCCGAGTCAATGTGGTTTGCTGCCAAGCAGCGGCGAAGCGGCGAAACGGCGTGGGCGGAGCGCAGGCTTATCAAAAATGCGTGTCTGCAATTATTGGGCTTCGCCTTCACCCTCGTCTTCGAAGCCGACGTCGATGTCGACGTCGACTTTGGCTTTGACTCTTTGACAAATCCGTTTTGCATGTCATTTACTGCTAGCTCAATTTGCACTTATTACCGCGTGCACACACACACACACACACACACACTTATATGAATATGTAACAGTGTGTGTATACGTAATTTTGAATGGCATTACGCATACCACATGTTGCGCCCATGACTGGACTTTATCGTGCCTCGCGCCACGAGGCGCTAATAATAATGACCATAATTCGCAACAGCAGTGGCTAATTCGCATTTATAAATAAATATTTCTTGTATTTATTTATGCATACAAACAACCGTTAATTGTTTTTTGATTTGTATGCACGCTGCCGGCAGGTGGCGCTTTTGAAGCGTGCGTGGTTATTATTTAGAAGTGTACATAATGGGTTTAATAAATCTGTTAAGAGTATATTTTTAACAGCTAGCAGAACATTAAATTCCATTGAATTTATTGTGTTTTCTATTGTATATAAATGTTTAACTGATTTATTTAGGTAGTCCTTTATTAGAAATTAAAAAAAATATAGTTTTTAAGGTGTACGAAAAAGTTCTTCTAATTTCGCGCCTACAAATATTATTATATATTATTATTAGATATACTCGATATACGCGACAATATATTCAGGGGTTTTGGACTAACATATCACTGATATTCAAGAATTTCATTCACCTTTCGTATAAAATGGCTTTATTTTTATACCCTGAATCCATTAAAAATGGGTACAAGGGTATATTCTATTTGTGCAAAATCAAAATGTATGAAACAGGCAGAAGGAAGCTTCTCCGACCCCATAAAGTATAGATATTCTTGATCAGCATCAATAGCCGAGTCGATCTAAACATGTCCGTCTGTCCGCCCGTCCGTATGTATGAACGGAAGGATCTCAGAACCTATAAGAGCTAGAGACTTGAGATGTAAGTCCTCCTAGTGTCCTCGATATTTTACTCCGTTTCCAAGCAATCGATAAAAATCGATATCGATATCCTGTTTTTTGGGCAATTTTGGTAAATAATAAGAGCCTAGAGTCACCAAACTTGACATATAGCTTCTAAAATAGAATATATATATGCATTTGATGTTGGAAGAAGAGGGTTCAGGGTATCCCCTAGTCGGGAGCTCCAGACTAGAACCTCTTACTTGTCTTATACTGATTTATTGAGGAAAGAATTGCAGGCAGGGCCATATTCAGAGAAATCCTCGTGCTCCATTCTATTTTACTCGCAATTTTTATTTTTAAAAGTACATTTTTTTTTTGCAAAATACAGGAAGAAATACGCGCAGACAAAAAAAAGATAAATAAATAAATAATCCGCCACTCAATGTCAACGTCACAAGCAAAACAAGCAACAGATTAAAATGCATGCAAAATGTTTAACAACAATAAGAGAAAAGTTAAGAAAAACCAAAAAAAAAAAGTAAAACAAATTTCAGAAACTTTTTACACACGCGTCAAGCCCGAAAAACTTGAATATACGAACGCTTCGTAGTATTTTTATAAGATAATGCGAAAAGCCGAAAATAGACGCACAAAGAGAGAAACGCACATGATGCAAGAGATTGGAGACACATAGAGAAACTGAGAATTAAGAAAAAAAAAATAGAACATAGGAAAATAGAAAAATATTGCGGCGACAACGTCCCGAAACTGGGGGATTGTGGTAAAAATGTTGTTTAGATGTCCAATAGACAAATCAGTTTGTTGGGAGACGATCGCCGAACGAGACCGTAGCAAAAGTATAATTCATGTCGAGCGGCGCGCACACACATCTTTATATATAGTATCTATAGCTATATATCTATATATCTATATATCTATATATAAGTATATATGTTCATGTGCTAACAGCTGGCAGCAGCAATTTTGAGTGCGGCGGTACGCGAAAAACAAGTAAAATCGAATTATGTAAGTGTTCTTTATAGAGGCTCCCACAACGCACAAGCCAGCCATATATTACAAAAAAAAAAAAAAAAATCAATAACAAATAAATTGAAAAAAATGAAGGAAATATAAAAGAGGTGTGTGCTAAAAATAAACACAACTAAATTTAAACTCAAGCAAAAAATTCAATATATTCAGCTAAAAGTTCAAGGCATTTCGCATTTTCGATAAATAAACCAAATTTATGCATTAAATAAATTAGTTTGCATTTTTTTTTTTTGCATTTTGGCTAATTTGCGGCACAAAAAAAGTTCTATTTAAATTGTGCAAAAAATAAACGCAAAATTTGGGCAATTAACAAGAAGGCAAGAAATAAAGTGTTTAAAAATAGTTTCTGCGCTCGTTTGCACGTGTGTGTGTGTGTGTGTGTGTGTGTGTGCGTGCGTGTGTGTGTGTGTGTTGTGTGTTGTGTGTGTGTGTGTTTGTGTGTGTGGCTGGCTCCCAGGGCAGCTGCCACTTGAAGCTGCCAACGACAACGTGGCAGAAGGCAGAGTGAGAGAGGAGGGAGGAGTAGAACGCGTCGATCAAGATACTTTATAAAAGACGCAAATTAAATTAAAAACAATCTAAAGTTTTTAAAGAAACAAAAATTAATCAATATTTTTCAAAAGACTATTCTATGTTCTTCAAGAAAAACTTTGTTTGAACAAAACTTGTTGAAATAAAACGCAAAAAGAAAACTTTTGTTAAAAATAATAATAATAATCAAAAATATTATATTAGTTGATATAAGTGAAATAATTAATAATTAATAATGGAAGTATAATAACTACAATAATAATAAAATAATCATACAAAATGTGAATTATCCCAGCTATGTAAAAAAAAAAAAAACATTTCTACATGAGGGACTATATAAAAAGGAAAGTTTAAGAAATTGACTTAAAAATATATATACCAATATTATTATATTAATTCATATTAGTTTAATTATTAATAACAGCGTATGTAATAATAACAAATAAATAAATATAATAATAATAAATTTAAATTAATCCAGATATTTAAATAAAAAATATCTGATTGACTATAAAAAAGGAAATTTAAAAAAGTAACTTAAAAAGGATGTATTAAAAATGTTATATTAGTTGATATAACTATAATTATTAATAATAATGAAATAATAAAGAAAAGGGAAACATTAAAAAATAATATTTAAAAACTATATGCAAAAAATATTAGTTGTTTAATTATTAATAACAACAAATATAATAATAACAAATTTTCAAATAAATATAATAATAATTAATATGATAATATTAATATAATAAAAATCAATTATGAATTTTATCTTAAGGACTAGAGAAAAGGAAAACTTTGAGAAAGTTTCTAAAAAATATATAAAAAATGTTATATTATTTGGCATTACTGTAATTATCTATATAACACGACTAAAAAATATTAATTAGCATTTTTGCTGTGGAATTATTTGCTGATCAAAGCATAAAAAGAATTATTTAACCCTTATGCTGTAAGTAAATACCAGCATGGGCTTTAACCCATACGCGAGCCAATTTGTATACACCTTTCTATATAAACAGTTGTCGATTTTAAGCTACATGCTTACTCAATAATAATAATAGATTGCATTAAATTCACTTTTCTGGGTGGAAACGGCGTCCGAGAAAGTATGGAATAATTTGAAAAAATTCACAAATTGGATTA